ATGAGGGAAATAAGACGGCCCGGCGCAGTTACAAAACGAGATGCGATTTTTTCGGCACCGATTCTAGGCCGAAAGGTGTGACAACCTTGGCCCCGACTCTAGGTCGGGCCTCGGCGTCGATTCTAACTTAGGAAGTGCGACAATCTCGCCCTAGATTTGGCATATGGGCCTCAGATTAATTTGGAAACCGATTTATTATTAGGGAGGTCCTCCCTGCATCGATGTTCATATGGACGACTGCAATTTTAGTATTACATTGTCACCCCAATATGTTTCAATAGTGTAGTCTTCTCCAGATTTTCTTATAACATATTTTCCAGGTTGGACGTAAAAATATCCATCAGAGCTACTCCCAACTTATTACCCAAACCTGGGCAAATATCCGTCCGCTAAAAGCGAACTACAGGAAATTAAATTCTTGGTTGGCAACTGCGGTAACCTACATAACTGTTTCGCATTGGCGGAGGGTTCAGTTACGTGTTTGTTTATTATACCTGGATTTATCTTTCTAGCCTCTTCACATGTCGACGTCTCATCATGCGCAAAAATTGTTTGCCGCACATTAAATGCTCCGAAAAGTAATTGCGTTAATAATTATTATTATGAAGAAAGTATAATCCTTTTGCAATTTTTGCTCTGCTCAACCTTTCGTTATTGCTGTACGTGTACATATAATGTTGCGGAGAAGGGGACACGATCTATGGCACAAGTGCTTTATTAGCCTGACGTTTCGGATTCTCTCTCGAATCCACCATCAAAGACAGACTCAGATAAGGGTAGTGGATCTCTCATGGGTAATATTTATACAATGTTGTTACTAGGCCGCTTCATGCCTACCATAGTTGGCAGCTCCCTAGAGCATCACAGCTCTACTGGCCAGGTGTTGAAGTATGCCGTCGCTATGCGCCTGCATGACCGGCATACAGGCTGACTGCGGAATCTCGTCATTCGTGTGGACCCCGGTGATTTGGCTTGCCGACATTTATACCGGAGACAGTGGTTATCCCCGCATCCGTCTCGCGAATAACTGCTTTGCCTAGGCTGTCTCGGCACCAAATATGGCGCGGGGAGGTCGTTGTGCTTGTTGATTGATTGAGGACCGGAAAATCATGACTCGAGCAGTTCACGGCTCACGCGGTTGTCGCATCCAGCAAGAATTTCTGCTTCGCCAGACTTGAATGTGTGGCTGGGTCCCATAGAATGAGCCGTAACTTGAGAGTTGGCCTTGTCCCTCCTCACTGCTGCTGCTGCGTGCTCGGCCAACCGTATCCAGAACAGTCTTTCGGTTCCTCCGACATAGTTGCTTTGCCCAAAACTGCATCAGACCCGGTAAACGAGTCCAGATGCTTCTTGCCGTGACAGTGGGTCTTTCGGTCTCATGATCTGGCGCCTTATGGTGCAATTCAAATTCCAAGGGGCGTAAGGAGGCAGCTGACGGCATCCGAGGCACACGTCACGTACGGGACAGCTCGCCAAAATTTGAGGCAGGTTGGATTTTGTCTTTCGCCTCGTTTACGCAGGCACCAGTTGACGAAGTTGCGCGGGTAGCCATTAACTCTAAGCACCCGCTGAAGGTATTGTAATTCAGCAACCTTATCTTCCGGTTCACTGCAGTGTGTCTCCACCCTCTGGTATAGCCCTATTATGCAACTGCGACTGTGACTGATTGGGTGGTTGCTGGTGTAGCTTACTACTTGCGTCGTGTTTGTCGCTTGCCTGAGTACTTTAGTTTTTAAAACACTGCAATCTTTGCGGCAGACGAAGACAAAGGAACGCCAGCTATTTGTTTTCCTCTTCCTCCATCGTAAATGGAATGTCCGGGAAGATGGCGTTGAGGTGTTCTTTGGATTTCAGCACCTGATGCCGTTCGATGGCGACGAAGGTGTCATCCACATACCGAGCCCAGAATGTCAGTTTGTAATGTGTGTTATGTTGCCAGCATTTCAATCACCCGACATCTATTGTGATCTATATTCATTCAAACTGAAGGTTGGCCCGCGCCAAGGTGTTCAATATTTGATGTCCTTCGTCAGTAAAACTGTTACATCCTTGCTCAACTACTGTTCCATGAAGTCTGCGGATGTCTGAAAACGTTTAGAAAATATATTCTCAAGTGTTCACGTCAGAGATGAGGATTGATGCCGGTGCTAGCGACTTGAATCTCGCCCACATCACTGTCCTTCCCACTCCTACCCATCCTGACTAGCCGTCCTTCAAGCCAGATTTCAGCCGTGTTGAAGTCCGACAAATCCGGGCTGTAAAGGGACGATTACGCTTGAGTAACCCCCCTTTCGAATTCTGCCACTAGAATTTTTGATGTTTCATTTAAAAATGAAGGAGAGTTAGCACCGCGGAAAATGTACTTAGCCAAATTCAATGGGGTTACCTAAAACGTATTATAACCTCTTCATGGCAGTGCTAACAGTAAAAGAGGGATCTCAATGTTTTTGGCAACTTATTGTTTTCTATTCTACCTACTTACTTGGTACGGCCGCCATCATGCTTGATTTAACCGGCCTAAATGATGTCACGGAATGCACCCGTCCACGTCCGCGACCCCAAATCTTAACAGTCCAGCTCATTCTTTTCGCCAGCAATGAAGACTGGATACCAAGGGTTCAGGAACAACTTGTATGCCCTGGCCGACATTTTCGAACCAGATTTCAAGTTGACCCCCTCTTCGACGTCTTCAAGCAGGTAACGGTGCCGTATTGAGGACAACAGCACTGATCTCATGAGGTGGACAACAAAGAACGTATCCAAACCACCTCAGTCGTCATTCTTGGATGGTGTGAATGTCGCCACGGAGAGTGCGGAGTACCTAATTTGAGACGACCTCATTTACCTTTGACACCATAGACCATAAATTGCTAACGCTTAAAACTGACTGGGCGATGTCATCAGCGTATTCGAGATCAGTCAGCCGGCGTCCGGATGCAAACTGAACACCACTATTTTTACTTCGCATTGTAGGGGCAGTCTTTTAAACTTGCTCCGAACCCCTGCCGAAATGCCGTGCGCGGAGACGCAGATGTTTGAAGATGAACTTCCCCTGATACGCAGTTGCCCTGCCCTGAATGAGATTCGCACTGCTAATGATATTAAGGATATCACTATAGAGGTAGATTTCTTTTGTTTACTTCTCCTTTACACTGACTGCTTCCTGTTAGTTGAGAGGTGGATCCTCGCTAGAAGCACATAGGATCATTTTAGCAGCTCGCATTCCGTCTCTCCGACCTTCTCTGAGTGGAGCCTCTGGCAAGGAATCCATGGTGTTGCGATGGCCATCAGTATCTATAGAGTAATAGCAGTTAATTTTTCCCGCTTATCGACCCATCTGTTTCACAGTGTCGCAGATTCACTCCTAACCTATCTGTACACTGGTCAAGTGCAGATCTCCGAAACAAATGTGATGGGCTTACTTCTGCTCTCAAGAATGATGTCTCTGCCTCAACTAGAGACGTGGGCAACCACCTTCATGACAAGCAAGTAAATACCTTCCGGATAGTCCATGTGTATCACTGTCACTTCAGGGTCAACGTGCAGAATCTGCCAGCGAGATTATATTTGGCTGAATCCTTCGGTATTCAACCACTACTGGGAGTCTGCATTCAAGTAATTCGGACGCACTTTCAAAGTGTGCTGTACTCTGACCTGCTCCCTCACATGTCTGCTGACACACTGCTTGCTCTCCTTCACATTGATGAGCTGTCAGTTGAGTCAGAAGAGCAGGCATTTGAAGCTGTTTCGCGTTGGGTCAGTCCGCATGGAGAAATAGATGAACAGAGGCTAAAATCTCACGTCCCGGAGATGCTGAAAGAGGTTCGATTGCATCGAACGGACATCCATTTCCGTAAACGCTTGTTGAAGTACCATCCGATATTTCAAAGCAATGCGGAGTGCCTGTAAGTTGGCGTTGTATCTCATGCCACTATTGATTCAAGAAAACTGTTCGCTGAAACCGAGCAGTGGATAGGAAATGCTGCCGCCCTTGAGAACTGCCAGTGTCCCTTTAACCAAAGCGACCGAATCCCCCAGCAGCCTCTGTTTTTCTTTGTTTTTGGAGTGGATCAGAATGAAGATACATGGTCTGTCCTGCGTTATGACTGTAAACTAGAGACTCAAGAACGCGTCGCATCCATGGAGCCGCACTATGGCACCTCCTTCGTGACCTTGGGGGGTGAGTGAACCAATGTTGACGTCTTTTTCGTGCTTCTTTCTGTGACCGTCACCAACAGTGAGGTTTGTCAGTGTTCGGAGGGGGGCGCGGTGGTGACCTGGCCGTGAATTTGTTTACAATAAAAAGGCTTGTGCCACACCCACCTCACACCCCCCCCCCCAATCCGTCTTGTCTCATTGACAAGATAACTGGAGAAGGTAGTTGACGCGGTGGCTGATGAGATTAAGCACCTTGTCTGTCCATATCGCGCGTGACCGGATTCAATGCCAATTAGATTGCATTCAGCCAGCGGTCCTAACTCTCACACAATTGAAGGCGTCATAAAGATCACATCAGAAAGGAGCTACTGAGGTATGCACGAACCTTTGTGAGGCTGGAAGCAGTCGGTGGATTGGTGCGGGCCTACGTCTAGCGCGTGTACGTCAATAGTAAGGGGTGCATGCAGATTTATTGCATCTGGACTAATGCATGCCATGAACCAGTGTGACTGCCATGTTGGTCTAACGTAACCGTGGCCCAGGCCGATACGGGAATGGAGGTGATGAGTTGCTACAATGGTCGATGGAGGCCAGTGGGTCCTGTGAGTTGACTGTTTGATCTAATGGCCTCTCGGGTCGTCTGCAGTCGACGTCACCAGTGGTCTCATGAGGCCTATCACACACACACAAACTGGCTGTTCGATTGGGGTGACGGGCGTCTCCTCACACCCACGGAAGGGGTCACGAGTTGAACTTCGCACCCACGAAGATAATCACCCGCGCCAGAAGCAAGATAATCTGCGAATTGATTCAAGCCGAGCTTCTGACGAGTACTCAGTCAATCGGTGTATCGATTTTGCCCTGCGCACTCACCTCCAGACCGGCGTCACCGACCGCTGATTGGCCCATACCCCCCTCCCCCCCATAAATGTTGCTTGTTCTGCTGTTGCTCCCACCATTACACGAATTCGAAAGCGCAGACGAATAAAGAAATGGTTCTGGCGATTGAACAGCCTTCTTCCTTAAAGGACCGCTCGATCTTGGCATTGCATTCAATTCTTGATACTGGACAGAAATTCTGTTGGCCAGAATGCTAGACAGGTCGAAAACATGTCTCAGGACTCCCGTCAGATTGTCGCCCGCCCGTGCATCTGTTTTCATGCGGTCACGAGTACCACAGAGGCTTAAGCGAGTCGGCCATTTCGCGACTTGCTATCGTAAGCGTAGTGCTTTGACATTGAACTATTACTGTCTGATAAACAGTTACATTTTTACTAATGCCCTTGATGTGATGACTGGCGTTAATTCGTGATTTGAGGTACTCTCAAGACTTATCAGACTGCCGAGCACACTATAAGTTTTCGATTTCCTTATTTCTCTGCACTAGTCGAATTGAAAGAAACCATCCCATTTGCACCCGGTTTCTTAAATTTTGCCAAACATTCTCCATACTCCGCGATCGTCGCCGACGTCGATGTGGAACTTGAGAGCCGACGCCACTAACCTGCGCCTTATAATAGAAACGGGGACTAATGATCGTGACCGTTGCTGACCGAGAAACCGCCCGCCGACCTAGTGGTCCGCTTTGGTCGAAGACAAACAGATGAAGTCTACAGTAGCGTTCTTTTGCCACCCCCTGTTGTCCTTCACGTTGTCTTCATCAAAGCAGAAATCTATTTCGTCTCTCACTTGTTTATATTGCAACTTTATGCTCCCACCGACAGAACGGATCTTCGCCGTAGGCGGACAGACTGACGGACTAACTGGCTCAACGCGCGTCGATGAGTTCATAGTGAGCGAGCGCCGTTGGCAGTCACGGGCTCCCCTCGCCGTCCGTCGCAAAAACCATGCAGCCACCGCCGTCACCCTAGACCTGGACGGCGATGACGTTGGTCAGCAGAGGTTAATGCTTGTCTGCGGTGGATGCTTCAAGGAAGGACGGGAATGGCACCGCCTCTGTAGTTGTGAGGCCTACGACCCGGCCCAAGACAGGTAAGAGACAGTCTCTTTTCCTACTGCTACAGCCATCGCACCCTGTCTTGTCACACCCTTTTTTGCCCGCAGGTGGTACCGGCTGCCCGATCTGCGTGAAACAAGGGACGGACCAGCGGCTGTTTGCCTGCCCGATGACAATCGGGTCTTTGTTTTCGGCGGCCAGACTGCCTCCATCGTTCATACTTCTGTGGAGTACTGTCGTCTGCGCGTGGACTGGCGGGAGACGACTTGTACTGCCAGGACGGAGGACTTCTGGGTATCCGCTGCCCCAATGCCAACTGCGCGTTCCTTCCTTGCAGCAGCACCGTTTAGGGGGCGGATAATTGTCGCTGGAGGATGGGACTTTCAAAGAAATATGAACGTTGTGGAAGTGTTTTCGCCCCCAGACGCCAACTCTCCGCACGGTGAATGGACGGTAGTTGCCGCGATGGAACAACCTCGGGACGTTTTTACTATCCTTACCTCTGCCAGCGCGGTATTTGCGCTTGGTAAGCCAAGTGGTCTCCGCGGGTTTTGGCTGTTGTCCTCACTTTCTAACCATGCCCTGTTTGGTTTCATTCCTCTTACGTGCTCTGATACCTAACCAGTCTTGCTACCAGTTGTAACTACTCAAAATTGCATTATTTATTTAAGCAGTGATGCCTAGACGGTATCAAGTTGCGAACAGCTCGTACTACAGGTGGCCTAGTGCCAGATTCTAGGGGATACCTATTACCGTGTCCTTTCTTTAGTCCCAACATCAACCAGTCGCTATTCGGTCTGACGTTCGAGAAGGTTGTATCCTGTCGCCTATTTTGTTTAACTACGCTAACGAGTGGATTCGCGGGAGGGCCCTACACGAAGATGACGGCGTTGAGTTCAAACCCGGATGCCGGATGACTGGTCTCGACTGCGCCGATGATATCGCCTTCAAGTTTTGGTGATCTACGGTCTACGGGTGAACGAGGTAGCTACATCTGTTAGTTCCTCCATAATCTTTAGGAAAACCAAAGTGTCTCAAGCTGCAGCCCTGAACAGGAGAAGGGGCCTCTCGAAATTTATGGCTGTCAACTTGGAGAAGTAGGGAGTTTTGAATACCTCAGGGCGAGAGTATTGCCAAATAGGCAGAGTGAGGACGACAGTGTTTCCCGAATTGATGCTGACCGCCGGGCTTTCTCCAGCCTTAGAAAATGCCTCTCGGTCCGACGCGTCATCTCCTTCGCCACTAAAATTCGCGTGTACCGTACATCTGTCTGGTCTATCCTTTTCGACAGTTGTGAATGCAGGGCTGTGCGCGTGGGTGACGATCGTAGCCGTACCAAGCACAAGTAAGCACGTAAGGTAAGTAAATGAAAACATTTCCAGGGAATCAGCTGACGAGGTGTGGCTAAGGAAGAGATGGAGTGCGAGTTGACCCTCGGGCCCTGATTTTCCGAGAAACCGAGTTGGGGATTCGGATTTCAGACAGGTAGACCGCCACGTTGTAATGAAGACTCGGAGCACCAGGGTCCAGTTAAGCTCACGCATCCCAGCGATAAGAAACAAAGACAAACCCAGATGAGTCAGAAGTCCTGTCGGCACGCTAACAGTTCAAGGATTCCAGGCCAGCCTTGGGCATTTCTGCATGTAACGTTTACTATCGGATTTTCTACCAGGGTTTCGGAAAGGTCACACATTTCAGCGATAACAGAAACACATGCGGTTCGTTGTGTTCTTCGTCACCGTATGTGTCGGAACGGAGAAAGAAAGCGCTTCCACTTTAAAGCTGACATTTTTGGCGAGGAAATTTCTTGGCATCATTCATGCCCGCCAATGGTCTCATTGTCTGAAACGTTGTTCTTCGTCAAAATTAACTTATTGCAGTGGACGGGTGGTATTGTCATTGGCTGGGCTGAGGCATAAATGCAGAAATAGCTTCAGATCAGCGCTTCCAGAGGAAACGGAATCCACATCGGGTATGGCGGACCAGTCGTTGTTCAGAGCATACCAAAATAGAAACCACCTAACGAATTCCAGTATTTTATTTGCGGTCACCCGCGATAGCCTATTTTTCAAGGCACTTCTTGCAGAGCCGGACTTGGGCGGGCAATGCATAGAAAATCCCCTCTAGGAAGCTTGTTCTCCTCCAGCCGTTAAGTTCTGCGAAATCTACACACGTTGGAAGAGTCGAATTTATTGTAGAGGGGGATTCTGAGCTTCTGCACTCTAACGACCTGAAACAAAAAACAAGGCCCGACTATAGTAAGTTTTGCTCTTTTATTTTAACGTCACTAAGTGGTTCTTGTTTGTGTTCGCTTAGTCATCGAACTTCAGTGGAATTTAACTGATTTTCCTTCAGGCAGCGACGAAGGGCCAGAAAACACAGTTGAACAGTTTGTTGCACCGGCAAATTCGGTTGATTCTGACACAACGTTCGCCTCTTGGGTTTGGTCTTCCAAGGGTCAAATGAAAAACCTCAAGGAGATCGTTGGAGCTGTGGCTGTTCGAATCTAACTATTATTTTGAGCTGCTCCCATGTCATGCCTATCTCCTTTCCTGTTGCTTTTGATATCAAGGCTGATTTTTTAGAGCAAAATAGATCGTATTTTGAGAGTAACTTCTTTTTGTTACACGAGAGTGGCCTTTATTTGGCGACCATCCAAGCCACGACTGATAGCGCGCTGTGATTGATGTACTCGCGTCAGACTTACTGTTAGTGATGTGTTACTGATGTGCCGTGAGGATGGAT